TAAGAAAATTAAAAAATCCGCCCCCAAACCGATAAGCCGTTAATAAAAAAATTTCAATCCGTTTCCCGTCCATTAAACCGTTAACCCGATACCAATAAGCCATTAAGCAACTTTTGTGGTTCGGATTTCGGTTTCGGTTCGGTTTTGAACACCCCTATCGGTGCCCATGGCACGAAGCTTTTGATTCTATATTGTTGTTCGACAGTAAGTGTCGGTGTCAATGGCATGTTGATTCCCCTGCATCGGTAGATTTTTATTGTGCTTGCGAAGAATTCAATGGAACATAGAATCCACAACATCATGATGCATTAGCGCTGGTATTTTTGGAATGCTTACATAATCTTCAAAGTCACCTAATTCGCGGCTCGTCATGCCTTCACTCATGGCTCTTCATGCCTTCATTCATGGCTTGTCAGATTCGTCTACGTGTAGCAGAAACTAGATGCGGCCTGGGAGTTAAGTATGACAACACCGCTGTGGCAAAAAATGCGGAGCTTGGGTAGAATCTACTGACGAAAAAAAAAGAAGATAATATTGACCGATAGAATTTGAGATCAGATAAGAGAAGCCAATAGTTTAGTTAAAAAAACACATGGAGCAAAGATTGGATGGGATTCCTCCTCTATTGTATTGGCAAATTATCTAGCAGCATCTATACCATATCAGATCCTTTTCTCTAAAGCCACCACTCCATCCGGCTAGCAAGACCAACGACAGGACCAAGAGGACAAAGTTGAAAGAGAACTATGAAACTGGAGGAGAAAGTTAATGTGTTAGCTCTTGGCAGTGGAAAAAATTCAATTGTGTAATTTCAAGTGCTTAGTCCAAAGGTCTTTTAATTTGGTTTGATCATATACTCCTACTTATTTGACCAAAAAAGTAGAATTTTTTTAAAAATATCGTCATATATGTACGTATTTGGTTTCCGGTAAGTTATGGAATCAAATGAATTGGCTGATGCAAAAGATTGTTGGCTCAACTGGTACTTCAAGCCTCGTCTTCGCGGTTGAATAAGTTTATATCTCGACAAGTCTTGAAGTAGGAGGTATATATAGACGTACAAAATTTATTGGGTCTTTTTTTTTGGTAACCATGTAAATATTACCATTAACAAACAAATCCTTACACTTAAAGAGCACCTGATCTCGCAAACATACAAAGATCAAGCCTCCAACAGACAAAACAGAGAAAAAAAAATTAATTGCATTTGCAGTTGCTCTTTTAAGTTCCTACATCTATGAGCTCTCTTTGATGAACTAATTGTGTCTACTCTAGCTAAAATCTCTCTTTTTATCTGTATAACTATTCTTGTCGCCTCTACATGTGTACCTTTAAACAATTTCCAGGTCCTCGCCTTCCAAGTGTGATAAACCATTGCTCCTCATGTTGCTGCAACCAGTTCTCTTTGGGATTTCTTCCATTTCTTCTTTTTTACGCACTGTAGAACTGTCTTCAAATTTCCTAGTAGTAGTTGTGATCCTGTCCATTGCTCCACCCCTTGCTTGACTTCCTGGAACCACGACATCCACTAAACAAGTGATTAGCTGACTCAATAACTTGATTATCACATAAACAATAAGTCGACTCTTCTACTGGTATATTCAACTTTCCCAATCTTTCTTTAGTGAGCAGTCTATTATGAATAACTAGCCATATAATGAACCTATGTTTAGGTTGTGCCACAGGGTCCATATTAATTCAGCATTGACCAACTTAGGTTGAACATTCCTTAGTTCCATGTAACTTCTAGTAATAGAGTAGTCTCCTATTGAGGTGAGTCTATATCTGCCATGTATGTACCAATTCTGCATTTTATCAGCTAAAGCTTGTATCTTTCTCCAGTACCAGCTGCTATCTGCATGTGCTTTGTGACTCTAGATGTCCTCACCATTCTTTAAGTATACACCATGTACCCACTTTATCCGTATTGAATCTTTGTTTACTACCAGTTGTCATACCAGTTTACCAACTGCAGCCATGTTCCAAATTCTGCATTCTTTGATATTTTGTCCTCCATTCTTCTTAGAGCAACATACTTTTTTCCATGAAACTAAGGATACTTTCTTCTTATTTTCTGAGCCACCCCATAAGTACTCTTTACACTTCCTATCTACCTCCTTCAACACACTTTGACGAAGAATAAACACATATCCCCAAAAGTTGTATATTGAGAAGAAAACTGAATTTATGATCTGTAATCTCCCAGCATAGGAGAGTTGTTTTGTATATGTCAATTTGATCGTATTAGTTATCTTATCTATCAATTGCTGGCATTCCAATTTACTCCACTTTTTTTAGGATAACAGCAAGCCCAAATATCTAATTGGAAACTCTCCCATTGTAAATCCAGTTATTCCTAGTAGTTGTTCTTTAACTTCTTCTGTCACCCCAGATAAGAACATACTGGACTTTTCCACATTAGCTATCAAGCCGAAGCCTCACTAAAATGCTTCAATGCCTCTAATATTCTTGCCACATACTTCATATGTCCTTTGCAAAATATCATAAGATCATCAGCAAAATGGAGATGCGTGAGTTTAAGCTCTTTGCACATTGGATGGAATCTAAAGTCACGCAACACACTTATTGTCTTTAAGGTTCTGGATAAGTATTCCATTACTAATACAAATAGTATTGGTGAGGCAGGATCACCTTGTCTCAATCCTCTCCTTCCTTCAAAGAAGTCATGGCTCTCCCCATTTACTTTCATTGAGAATATTGTTGTAGTAACACATGTCATCATCCAGTTAGTGAACTTATCAAGGAACCCAAATCCTCTCATTGCATCCTCCAGAAATGACCATTATGTCATATCATATGCCTTTCTCAAGTCTATCTTCATTAAGCATCTAGGTGATGTTCTTCTATTGTAATGCCTTAACTAATCATGACATATCAATACATTATGCACCGTCGACATGCCTTGTACAAAAGCAGCTTGGTTCTCTGCCACTAAGTGTAATACAACAGCCTTTAGCCTACTGCAAAACATCTTAGAGATACATTTGTAAAATATATTACAACATGATATTGGCCTATATTGGCTTGCAAACTCTGGATTATCAATTTTAGGAATGAGTGCAATAATTGTTTCATTCAGTTGCTTCAATAACCTTCCTTTCTCAAAGAACTTCAGTATAGCTTCAGTGACTTCCTCTCCAGTAATAGACCATGTAGCTTTAAAAAAACCACTTCCATATCCATCTGGCCCAAGACTCTTGTTGCTATCTATGCTAAACATTGCTTCCTTGACATCTTTCCCATTGAAAGGTCTGATTAAATAAACCTGTTGTGGTATGAACAGTAAAGGTCCATTCTGAATTATATTGATAAATAAACTCACTCTTGAATTCCTCCTAGTGCCCAATAGATCTGTGTAAAAGTTCACAAACGTATTAGTTATAATAGTTGGATCATTCTGTCAAAGACCCTGTTCATCCTTAAGTTGTGTAGTAGCTTGCTGTAACCTTTTGTGTTTTATGACAGAATGGAAATACTTAGTATTGTCATCACCCAATCTCAACCATGTAGCTTTGTTTTTTGCTGCAAATACACCTCAGCCATATAGGATGATTGTCTAAAGTTAGTATATAAAGTGGCCTCCTCCTGTTGTAACTCTCTATTTGTGGGATCTCTGAATAGTCTTTCTTGAACCTCTTTAAGTGTCACCCTTTCCACATTTGCCTCAGTCACAATGTTACCAAAGTAGTTTGCATTTAACTTCTTTAAAGCCTTCTGTAGCATCTTGAGTCTACTGACAATTTTAAACATCTGACATTCTTCTAGTTGAACTTCCCACCCTGCCTTCACTAAATCAGCAAATTGAGGATGCTGAGCCCAAACATTACTGTAGATGAATTGTCTTCTCATCCCCAGTCTCCTATCCTCCAATGTCACCATGACTGGACAATGATCACTAGTGCCTTCTGGCAGAAACTTTACTCTGCAAGTTGGCATTATATCCAACCATGTATTGTTGATGAATATCCAATCTAGCTTTGAAAAAATTCTCTGATCATTGTTCTTATCATTCCAAGTGTAGTGATTTCCTAATTGAGGGAACTCAATTAATTCACACTCCCTAATGTATGTGTGAAAGTCTACCACATCAACCCAAGTAACCTGGTTCCCTCCAATTCTGTCTTCTATTCTCAATACTGGGTTAAAATCTCGCAACACCATCCATGGCTTATGACAACCAGCTTGGTATTCCACTAGACTACTCCAAAACTCCCTATTCTCCTCTTTAGTGTTAAAAGCATACACAAATGTCACCACAAAAGTCATTTGTAATGGTATATATACTACCTTACAAGTGATACTTTGGGGAGTTTTGCAAACAACAACCATATTATAATAGTCTGGTCTCCATGTCACTACAATCCTCCCATTATAATATTTCTCCAAGTTTGTCACATTTCTCCATCCACCAAACATTTTTCCAGTAATCATATCTATTTTATTCCTTTTGATCTTAGTTGCCAATAGATCAACCAATCCTTCCTGTTCACTATTGCAAAGGAGTTTCCCCTACTTTTGCTTATTTGGGGCATTTAAGCCCTTGATATTCCAACTTAATATCTTAACCATTCCCAGTGTGGGTATGGTCCTCTTATCCATATTTACCACCTGACTGTTCCTCCTCAAGTCACCCTTTATTCTCTTTGTGCCTCATGGTTCAACACTTGAAAGGAATTTACATTATTTTCCTACTTTGTCACTTGTTGATTCTGTGAGTATTGGCTTCTTCTTGATCTTTGTGGTGTCACCCACACTATTTCCACCTGCTTCTTGGTTGGTGAGCCTTGTGTTGATTTACTCTTTTGTGGAATAAGGTTTCTGTTACCTGTTACAACTATGTTTGCACTTCCCTGCTGCTTTTGTGCTTCCTGACCATCTACAGCTTGCCCTAGAGCCTTCACTTGTGCCCCCTCAGGGGCTGTCTGATTCTTCTCCCCTGAACCCTCCTGGGTTCCAGTGTTCCTCTTCTTCCTGCAAATATCTACCGCATGACCATATTTGTGACAATGGGTGCATAACGTTGGTTTCCAATCATAGGACACATTCTGCTCAATTAACATCCCTCTTTCATTAACAAACCTCATATATTTTGATAAGCTAGCCCCCATTTCAACCTCAACTAACATCCTCACAAAGTTAAGTCCATTCTTCTTTTCAATATGATGATCCACTATCATTGGTCTCCCTACCAAACTCCCTATTTTACTGAAATCCTTAGGACTCCAGTACTTAAAATCTAGTCCTGGAAACCTAATCTATATAGGGATGGTATTTAGTTCATCTCTTGTAAACTTTATTTCCAGCTCCCATGCTTTCACAATGAATGGCTTATTATCAAAATGATAGATTCCTCCTTGAATAGCATCATTCTTCCCAACAATTGTATCAAATCTTACTAAGATTATCCCATTCTTAAGCATAGCAATTTTATTAATTCCATGCTTAGATCATAGCCTTTGTATGAAGCCCTTGATTACTCGAAATGGAGGATGAGCCCCCAAAACATAACATATAATTGCATTTTTGCAATACTCTATCTCTGAGCTGATATCTCCCATTTCAATTTCAACCACAGGAGACTCGCCTTTCATTGTGGGAGCCACATACTCTAATTTGAACCCAACATTTGACACTTTAGCAATGTCAAAATTATCCCAAGTTGATTTCCTCGACTGCAATTGAGATACTTCATCTTCCACTTGATCTGCCCATGACTTTCTACCACAACTGATTGACTCAGTCTGCTTTCTACTTGATGCAGTTCCTACTACCTCAGCCCAAATCTGTTGGGCTTATTGCACTGTTACATTGAGTTGAGGAAGAATTGGCTCCTCAACTGGTACCTTCTTCGCCTTCTGAGTTTGTGAGCTTGGTTCCTTTCCTAATTTCACATTTCCGGTCCTTTCCTTCTCTAGGATCTCAGATCGCTATTCAATCGGGCTCGAAGTTGATGTTTCTACTGGTACTAGATTACCTTTCCTCCCTCATTGTGTTGCCGCCTGTGATGCCTTAGATTCCTGGGCCATTAGAGCTTTTTGAGAAGAGATGCGCTCCCTCTTCCCTATGGACGACACAATTTAGTTAACGTACGCCCAGAGAGAAGCAGCCATTCGAGAAAGCTTTTTATGAGCTTATTAAAATTTATTGGGTCTAATCCATACAAAGTTTGGATTAAATTCAATTGGGTTAAATAATTAATGTAGACTTTACAAATTAGATTAGTCCATTTTATTATTTTCAAGCCCAATGTCCATTTTATTTTAAGGCCCAAACTCATGCCTTGTGTTAAGTGACATGGCATATCCAGTCACACTCAAAGCCAACAAGATGACATCATATGTGAAATGATGTGGCAGTCCCAGTCTAAAACCGTGACCAATCAAGTGTTGCCAAGTGTCTAAAATGACATGCCATGACCAATCACAAGCAAGCTTATCACATAGCTTATGTGATAAGTTTGATGACTCACATGAGCCAATCAGAATCAAGAAAGAGAGTTCATATGTAGTTGGATTGTCCATCCTCTACCACTGTAAATAGAGGGGTTACATAGCTCTATGAGGGGATTCAGAGTTGGAGAATAACATTCTGCAATTAGTGAAGACATCTGCAAATAGAGAGATCAATCATCAAGTGCAAAGTTCTTCAACAAAGGAGTAATCAACGAAGTTCTTCCCGGAGATCAGCCCGAAACAACAAAGTATTGCTCGGAGTTCTTTGAGATTAAAAATATCACAAGGAGGTTTGCATCATCCTACATTCAAGAAAGACGCTTCTCAAGCCCTCAAATTACGGAAAATTTCAGAGAGGAGAATCAAGTGATACATAGAATTGTACTCACAAATATTCATCAATAAAATCTCTTTTTCTTCATATTTTTGGCACGCCCCAGTGGGACCCATAATATACGAACAAATTTGTTGCGAACTCCTTCAAGATATGAACTTTTCGCCAGATTCCCCTTACTTCAAGGTTTGTCGGGGTGTAGGCTTGCCGAAACTTGAAGACGAGACTTGAAGTACTCGACCATCACAACAAATGATTTTAAGACTTGGAGTTTTCGATTTACAAGATGAAGAGATGAAGGACAAAACTGGTCCCACTGGGCGTGCCAATTTGTTTGCAATAAATTTTCAAGATATGAAAAATAAACTACAATCACAAAATAAGAGAAAAATATTTTTATTAATCAATTGTGAGTACAATTATGTTTCTCCCTTGATTCTTCTGTCCTGACTATCTCCATGATTCGAGGGTTGAACCAGCGTATTTCTCGAATATAGGATAATGCAAACCTCCTGGGGATGTATTTGATCTCCAGCTTCTTGAACTATTTAATTATCAAGAAGTATTTGGCCATATTTTGATCTCTTTGTGAAATATCCCAAGAGGTTATGGGATTTTTGAGACGCCTCTTCAAGAAAGTATATATCCCTTTATATAGGTGTGAGTTAGGGTTTAGGGTAGAGTTGCCTCCAAGCAACCTTAATAGACTCCTAGGATTTCAAGAGTCTTGTAGTATCTTGAATTTAGGATTTAGCTTGATTCGTTAAAATTTCGATGTCTACAACTACCTAACCCCTTTACCTTTATTCTCAACCCCCATACATTCCTACATGGTCATGTCCTCGGTAATTGTATACCTATTGTATTCCAAGACAAAATATTGTATATTTTAAATCAGAATATTATGGTATACTATTTGATTTGGATAATGTATTTCAAATTCAAATATTGTAGTATGATTTTTGTATATTGTATTCCAAATTAAAAAGTGTGAAAAATTTGGTACAAATATTGTATTTTAAGAAAACTTTTGAACTGTATTTCAAATTAGAATATTGTAGTATGTTTGGTTCAAATATTGTATTCCAAATTAGAATATTGTGGTATATTCAATTTGAATTATATTATAAATTAGAATATTGTGGTATATTTCAGAATATTTGGAAAGATTTGGATATATAGAGTGTAATAATTTTGAAATATTTGATGCAATTTTAAAATTTAGGTATATCATGAAAGTGAGTCTTACAAATGGATATATAATGAACTTCCTTACGAGGTTGAGTTAGGAATTCAGAATCTAGTATTTTGGATGTTAAAACACACTAAAATTTGTAACAAATTTTAGATTTAAATCCATAATCTGCCTTTGCTTCAAACAGGGCCGGCTCCACATGTGCTTGAGCCGCCCATGGCTTCAGACCAAATATTGATGGAATGCAGTGAGCCAAGCTAGACAGTGGAACTTCCTAGGCCTATGCTTATCTTAGACCTCAACTCAAACCTTATTGCAATTGTAGACGTCAAAATAAAGTCGCACAACATATGATTTCAAAATTGGATTACTGAAATTAATTAGTAAGAATTTTTCCCTATTCTCTCTCCTTTCTCCTCCTCTTTCCTCACCCTCTTCTTTTTTCTTTCCTCGTTTATGTTCAGTAGTACACTTGCCAAAATGTTATATAATTCTTTCGTTGCATTTGTATTCACGTGAGAGGTAGTAACTGTTTGTTTGCAAAATAGACATAATATTAAAGGAACTGAACTCCAAGATTCAACTTTAGCAAATTAAAATTTCTTTTGAAAAAAAAATTAAGCTTGGTAGGGAGGGAATCATAGGAATACATCCTCAACAAAGTTATCTTCAAACACGTGAATACGAGTTAGTGCGACGATCTTTTAGTCTATGCAACAAAATCACGACGAAGAGTTTATTTTCATGCCATGACAGCACAATATGGTGGCTAATCCATATATATATATATATAATAGAGGGCCCTAGGCCCGGTGAGGTGACACTCTCAATAACCAACAATTGAATTTTCTTGGCTTCTGTTTTTTTTTTGGGAATTTCCAACTGAAATTGCATAAAAATAAAAATAAAAATGCATCGCATACCTAACTGTTTCTTCCGGCCCTGCTTCTTTTCATCAAACAAGCCTCATATAAACTGCAAAAAAAAAAAAAAAAAAAACGCTTCGCATACCTAACTGTTTCTTCCGGCCCCGCTTCTTTTCATCAAACAAGCCTCATTTAAACTTTCAACTGCGTTTTCAATTTCCCTCAACACTTCTTTTTATCAAACAAACCTTCTTTAAATGTTCAATTCTGTTTCCCCTATTCAAGTTTCCCCAGACCTCTTGATTAGTGAATTAATTCCTATCAACTCAACTACATCTCCCTTCTTTGCCTATTTCTTATGTGGGAAACGTTATATATCTTATTACACAACTTTTGTTTTCTTCAACGCCAATTAAGAC